CCAGACCGCATGTCCTCTGATCCAAGACCACCTGTCCTCTGGTCCCAGACATCATGTCCTCTGATCCCAGACATCATGTCCTCTGATCCCAGACCACCTGACCTCTGACCCCAGACCACGTGTCCCCTGACCCCAGACCACATGTCCCCTGACCCCAGACCACCTCTGACCAACCTCACTTGATCTGTGACCCCAGATCCTGGATCAGTCTCTTGCTCCAGCTTGAAGTTTGTCTTCAGGAGCATTTACAGAACATTTGTGTTTTTCAGTGAATTCGTCAGAAAATTAAAATCAGTCTGCAGAGACTGGTCCTGGTTCAGATTAGCGTCCCTCAGCTTCGTGTTCACTCTGACTCAGTGTTGTATGAAGATGCATCACACTCACTGAAGACGTGATGATGTCATAGTGAAGAATTAAGCACAGGAAGAGGACATCATGACATCATCAGGTCTCTGTTGTGAATGGGATGCACCTCTTGAGTATTTGTCCATGTCAGATCTATAATTTATCATTATCACTTTATTTTAGACAATGATCAGAATGTTCCTCAGTGTCACATAAATTATTTATTTATTAGACGAGTTCTACCTGTGAGACGTTTTCATCAGTTTCTATTTGTGCCTTTTTCTTTTCAGCTGCTTTGTTCAGTCGTCTTGATTATTTATTGATTTCTCATGCTGCTGTTTGACCCACTTTGAGAAAGTCCTGTCAGAATGTAATGTTCACACACTAAAATAAATAAAATGTCATTGATTGATCTACATCACTTTGATCACGGATCCGTTTCTTCTAAAATAGATCAAGCTTCTGTGATTTCACTGGATCTAGTTTAATGTGAAGTTAAACTATAAAACTAAAACAAAGGTTTTAATATTCAAATAATTATAGAACAAACTTTGCTTTTAGTGTGGATAAAATAAAGGTTTATCTTGTACTGTTTTCTTTATGAAGTAATTCAACATTCAAAGTACATGAAGTCTTTATTTGTATTTGAAACATTTTCAGAAAAAAATAATTTAACTTTGAAAATCAGATTTTATATTTACAAAATATTTGTACTATTATTTTTACTTTTATTATTGGTCCTCTGACATCATCTCTCCAGCTCCTGGTGGATCCTGAGGTTGTTCCCAGGGCTGATGGGATATGTAGTTCTGTCTACTCCGGGTGGGCGTGTCCTATGATTTTACACTGATCAATCAATAAAATCAACAACAAATCAAAGATCACGAGTTGATGTTTAAAATAACAACCATCTGTTTAAGACGTCATACATTATAATTATGTTAAGGAGCCTAACCACTTCAGGCCTGTTACTGACTTCTCATCTGATGAAGACCATGGAGAGGATCATCCTGCCACACCTGCGATCGCTGGTGGGCACACAGCTGGACCCCCTGCAGTTTGCCTACCAGCCTGGGATTGGAGTGGACGACGCAGTTATTGACCTGCTGCACAGATCGCTGCTACACCTGGAGGACAGCGGGAGCACTGTGAGGGTCATGTTTTTCAACTTCTCCAGTGCTTTTAACACCATCCAGCCTTCAGTGCTCAAAGTGAAGATGGAAAGTGTGGGAGTAGACCAACACCTGGCTGCATGGACAACTGACTACCTCACCAACAGACCACAGTTTGTGAGGCTCCATCACTGTGTCTGACGTGGTGCACTGCAGCACAGGTGCCCCTCAGGGTATGGTGCTCTCCCCCCTTCCTCTTCACCCTCTACACATCGGACTTCACCCACAACACCACCCACTGCCACATCCAGAAGTTCTCCGATGACACAGCCATTGTTGGATGTGTTTCTGAGGGGAACGACCTGGAATACAGGACGGTCATCAGGGACTTTGTCAGCTGGAGTGAGCTCAACCAGCTCCAGCTCATCACCAGCAAGACGAAGGAGATGATCGTAAACTTCCGGAGGAAAGCATCCTACTTCACACCGGTGAACTTCCAGGGATCGGACATAGAGGTGCTGGAGAGCTACACATTCCTGGGTGTTCACCTCAACAATAAACTGGACTGGACTGACAACACCCATGCTCTTTACAAGAAGGGCCAGAGTCGCCTCCACCTGCTGAGGAGACTGAGGTCCTCCGGAGTGTGCAGGGCTCTCTTCAGGACTTTCTATGACTCTGTGGTGGCCTCAGCCATCTTTTATGCTGTGGTCTGCTGGAGAGGGGGCAGCACGGACAGAGATCAGGCTCAATAGACTTATTAGAAGGGCAAGCTCTATCCTGGACTGTCCTCTGGACTCCATAGAGGAAGTGGGGGAGAGAAGGATGTTAGCTAAGATGAGATCCATCATGGACAACACCTCTCACCCCCTACATAACACTGTGGTCCCTGAGCAGCTCCTTCAGCTGCAGACTGTTACACCCACAGTGTAAGAAGGTTCCGCAGGTCCTTCATCCCGGCTGCTGCCAGGCTCTACAACACCTGCACCACCTGATAATGTTGTAGTTTCCTGTTCATGTCTCGACCCACTACTACTCACCATGGCTGTATTTTTATTTATCCACAATTACATTTTCTAATATTTTTAATATTTACATTTACCACTTACAATGTCTGACTCTCCTTATCATAGTACTTATATCATGGTCACTTTACATTGCAATATTTTCTTATTTTATTTCATTCATGAGCATGAATATTACTTATATACTTTACATTACAATACTTTTTATATCATGCCACTCTTTTATCCTCAGTACCCTTTTGCACATTGTCTGTTTGCAGGTCGATTGTTTTCTTTTTTACTGTGTAAATTACAGAAATGTCTGTTGTTTTGTGTTATTGCCTTTTCCATTTTAATTTCTGTAGTGTATACTACACTTTCTCTCTGCTGCTGTAACAAGTACATTTCTCCGTTGTGGGATGAATAAAGTACATCTCATCTAATCTAATCTAATCTAATCTAAATACTAACAAACGGTTGCAGTGCTATAGGTGGACTGTAGGGGGCGGGCTCACGCCAGGCCCCACCCACACCGAGGTCAACCTCTCTGCTTCCTGTTCCGGTGTCGCGGAGCCGCTGTCTTGTTTTCACATAAGCTCCTCCCCCTGCAGGTGAGCGCTTGTCACCGCCTCAGTGACGTCACCAGAAGCTGCTTTAGCCTCACAAGCTAACAGTTTGTACTAGCTAACGGCTAACACAGCTAGCTGCAAAACACGCGCGTCAAATGACACAAAGTTATGAGCACACCTCCTGTTTGGACTTTCAACATAAAATACAGATTGAGAGAGTATCTGCAACAAGCTGCATTAAAAACCAAAGAACCGGATTCAGATGTAAACAGCTGCTGTGGTTCGTTAATTCATCATCAATCAACTGCAAACACTTCAAATCAACATTTGTTCCATTTGTCATTTTAAATGGTTCTGTCATTTCTGGAAATAAAGTTACTTTGAGTTAAGGAGATTTAACGGCACAAAAAACATCATGTCAACTTCTGCTCCACAGAAAATATTGTACAACTATATATATATATATATATATATATATTATATTATTCTAATTACAGAATACTTTAACACCTTCAAGCCAATCTGCTCTTTATCTAATGTTAAAATGTTTGGGAAGTGATTTTTTAGTTTTTCTGATGAAATGAAACATTGGAACCTTTCACCTGGAAACTAAGATTTATACTTGAAGAATAACAACATGTATGTAGATAAATATTATTATAACTGTCAACTATTGTTGATGAATCATCAATAATTAGTTGAACGTCTTCAAACGTCCAAACTCACACAGACACAAACGCGTTATTCATTCTGAAGAATCATCATGTCAGAAATAGAAACTATTTCTTCAAAATATATCACAATCATCCAACTCGATTTCTCTGGTGTAACCACATTAGACAGAATTCATATATTTGATAATACTTATTTCTCTTGGTCGTTGTATCGGTGACAGTTTCAGCTTTGATGATTTTACTTTGAAAAGCTGATAAGCACTAAGAGTAAAAGACAGACACTCTTATTGTGAAGGCTACAGCCCAGACTTCCGGGCGCAGCGGCCTCCTCTGGGTGATTGACGCAGTAAACAAGCAGCAGAAGCAGCGGCGGCGCAGAAACTCCGGATCTGAGCTTCGTGAATTCAAGTGCGCACAGAAATCTGCGCTCTTGTACTCACCGCTGCGACTTTCGCTCTAAAACCTGCGCAAACCCGCGCTTGGTTCTGCTAACGGGTTAGCGTGCTAGCATTAGGCGAGAGGAGCGCGGTCCTGCTCCTCACTGACGCGGACACGGTGAGTATCTGAGCCGCCGAGCTCCAGAGGGTTCAGCCCAGTTTAACACGGACAGTGACCGGGACCGGTGCAGTGACCGGGACAAGGACCGGGCTCTGCTCCGGTGATTGTTCCGCGGCGCTGCTGCAGAATCTCGTTAACCGGATGTGGAAGTAGTTTTTTCTCCGGGTGTAAAATAGGAAATTTCTCTGTGACTTCCCCCGGAAAACCAACAAGTTAATATCAAACGGTTTCCTGTCGGTGCGAGTGTCCGTGAGTCGGTGCAGCTGCTCCCGGTGTTTACCGGCTGCGGTGGGGACCCTCATCCCGGTGGGGACGTGGCACATGGCGGATTCTTTCTGTCCGTGAAGGCGCGTAAAATGGCTCCTCGTCCCGCTCGGCTGCTCCACACTCACGGCCGCTGTTTAACTCCAGGCTTCCATTATCGGACGCGCCGTCGAGCTAACTCCGCTAGCTTTGCTCACTTTCCGACAAAATAAAACCATGGTCACCTGAAGAAACGCAGACATCCCATAATACCAGTGTCACACGTTTAAACCCGGATATCACGCGTGCTGTGATTTGTACTCAGTTTGGTCGGAAACATGTTCACGATGTTAGCGCCCAAAACAAACGGACCCTGGTTCCATTATCGGACAAACGCTCATTGTTTTCTGCTGCTGAATCTGGAGGAAAAACACCAAGTTTGATCTGACGTCACTTTAATTATTGATTAATGTTCTGATCAATAATCACACTAATGTGATCGATCAGAAGTTCACTGTTTTAAACCGATTATTGACTAATCAATAAATCAGCTGATCGATACGGTTTAATGAGATCCGAGTGTCAACTCACTGTGACACCATCAAATTCTATATGTTGTAAAATCATTAGCACGTTTACTGGTTTTACTTTAATGAGACTGATGAATGTTGGTGCTTCTTTCAATGAATTTCATTATTAATTACCCATGAGGCTTTTCTCAGTAAATGAATTCATCACAACTTCAAAGTGAAAGCGTTAAAAACCTGCAGATGTTCAATTAAAGATAATAAATTAGTATTAAAACAGTAAACTAACTTTTCTGTCTGAATAACTGAAGTTTCTGTAAACTTTGGTTTTCACAAATTAAACTGAATGAATTTGATATTTGGACAAAACAAAAAATATCCTAAAGTTTAGTGTTGATATAAAGTTACTGATACTATTACTTACGGAATAATAATCTTAATTGATTTATTAGCTGTTTAAAACAAGCTCAGCTCTTTGCAATAAAATCAAAGAATCAGGAACTGAAGAGAAAAACCAGACAAGATAAGATTTTAATGTTTTTCTCTGGTGATTTGTGATAAAAAAGTAAATTCATTTTTTCTATTTTCATATGAAAAAGTTTGTCTTTATATTTGTAAATACATTTTTCTAATAATGTGAACAAATTGACATTTCATCAAACATCTCAGTACATCATAGTGAACACACACACACACCTTTCATGGTAAATTTAACAGTCATGTGACAGCAAGTTTAAGGTTTTAACGCTAATGAATAAACGATGGAAAGCACAAACACTAAACTCTGAGTTTAATGAACATTTATCAGCTGTTTAGGTGAAAATAAAAGTCCCATGATGTTTCCATTCAACAAAATCTACCTGCGATTGTCCCTTAAACAGGATGTGATGTCACAATTCTCACTTGTGTCTCAGTCTCTACCCCTACTTCTCACTTTGACGCGTTGTCTCCTGCATCTTGTGTCTGCGTCAGATGTCGTTGGTGGACCTCGGCAAGCGTCTGCTGGAGGCGGCTCGTAAAGGGCAGGACGATGAGGTCAGAAACCTGATGGCCAACGGAGCGCCGTTCACTACTGACTGGGTGAGACAAAAAAATTAATCCGTGATTCATCTGTTTTTATTTGATCTGATTATGAATTAAAGACAATACGTGTGTGTGTCCTGTAGTTGGGGACGTCCCCCCTCCACCTGGCCGCTCAGCATGGTCATTACTCCACTGCAGACGTCCTGCTCAGAGCCGGCGTCAGCAGAGACGCCCGCACCAAAGTGGACAGGACGCCGTTGCACATGGCTGCCGCGGAGGGACACACCATCATCGTGGAGCTGCTGGTCCGAGTAAGCTCAGATAGATCTGGACTTTAATCTAAAGTCTGCGGGGCGTTCACCCGATTGTTAAAATCAACAACATCAAAGTCAAACTTTTTGATAAAAACCTATTTGAAATTAAAAAAAGTTTTAAAATAAAAAGTTTTTTAGATATTTTATTTACTAAAGGAAAGTCCAATGAAAACAGCTAATTCTCACATTAGTAAAAATACAAACATCCACATTAAATCTATGAAGCAGTTTGTGTTTAAAACTGTTTTCACTTTTCAGAGCGGCGCAGACATCAACGCCAAAGACATGCTGAAGATGACAGCGCTGCACTGGGCGGCTCAGCACGGACACCACGGCGTGGCCGAGACGCTCATCAAGCACGGAGCCGACGTGCACTCGCTCAGCAAGTTTGACAAGACGCCATTCGACATCGCTGTCGACATCCAGAACACGGAGCTGATGCTGCTGCTGCAGGTGAGACAACATCCTGACGTCTGATTGGACGGTTATTGTGTCAGATATACAGTAAAGATATGTGTGTGTGTGTGTGTGTGTGTGTGTGTGTGTGTGTGTGTGTGTGTGTGTGTGTGTGTGTGTGTGTGTGTGTGTGTGTAGGAGGGCATGCAGAACCAGGTGAACATGAACCAGGTGAGTATGAACGTGGAGACGAGCTCCACCAACCAACAGTTCATCATCCAGGGAATACCTGCCATACAGGGGGGCGTGGTCAACCTGGCAGAGCTGCTCAACAAGGCCAATGCAGGTATGACATCACTCACACTCACTCTCTCTCACTCACTCTCTCTCACACTGTCTCACTCTCAGATTTTAATGTTTATGTTTCAGGAGATTCGGAGGAAGCGATGGCGGCCAGCGCTCTGGACTCCAACATCCAGCACGCCACTGTTGTCAACGAGGGCGGTCAGAGGGTCATCACAATAGTAACAGACCAGCATGGCAACCTGCAGACCACTGGAGGAATGTCTCAACCGTTCTTCGTGACCATGCAGCACGGACAGCAGAGTATGAACTTGAAACATCCTTCATGCAGTTTTTTTTCTGAGTCACTTGATGATCCTGACCGTGTTTGTTTGTGGTCAGTGCTGGCGGTCCCAGCCAACGCGGTGACAGAGGAGGTGGTGACGGAGGAGCCACAGCCCCCACCCACCAGGAAGAGGAAGCTGGAGGTAACCAGCAACCACAACGACACAGGAGAGACGGTGAGCTGACGGCAATTTCACCAGTATGACCAGGCGAGACCGAGAATGAATCCATGATGTGATGTTTAACACTAAAGTTCCATATATGTAGGGCCGACGAATCTTCTCCTGATTCAGTTTTCAAACACAAAATATAATGAAAAACACTTTGAATAAATTCTCACAGTCCTACGTGACATCGTCCCATCTGAGTGCACAAGGTTCCCGCATCTCTCAAAGAAATTAAATTCTCTTAAATTGACCAGAAATTTGCTGCAAGGTATTAAATTTGCAGGCAGTGACACACACAGTTCTATGTTTTTAACAGCGTAACACAGATGGGTGTTGATTTCTTCTACACTGAATATGAAGTTTTCATGTGAGCAGAGTACGACACGTTTATTGAGATCTTAAAAAGCTTAAATTTGACTTTAAAAATGGTGCAAGAACCAGAAGATGTTCAGTTCACTGTTTTTAAAGCTGAAACAAAGAAATGTGACTCAAAACAATAAATTATAGCAGCAGCAGATTGTTCATGTCCGACTTATTCACAACAGCTGGCAGGACTCTGGTGTAGTTCTGCTCGGAGTACTTACACAAATAGTGTCGACTCTGTGGTATAGAGAAAAAACTGTTCTAGAGTAGTGCAACAATTTGTTTACAGCTCGTCCACACCGGCGTCGGCCCTTAAAACCAAAACATTTGGAATCTCCTCGTCTTTCCAAGTGGACGTCTTCGTCTTCTACGTGTGTCACGTGTTAGAAACCTCAGAGACACCTCCACTCGCTCACTGGGAGGGTTCCAGATGTTTTCTCTCATGGACTCACTCTGACATTATCTAACCCTATCTGTGACATGACCTCTTCTTCCTCCTCCTGCAGGAGTTGCTACAGAGGCAGCTGCAGGAGGCCAACAGGAAGGCGCAGGAATACCGACAGCAGCTGCTGCGTAAAGAGCAGGAGGCCGAGGAGTATCGCATCAAGCTGGAGGCCATGGCCCAGAGTCAGGCCAACATCACCGGTACCAACGCCGGCGCCCTGACCGCCGACAGCGCAGCCAACGCTGCCGCCAGCCCCGAGGAGGTGGTGGGAGGAGATGAGGACGAAGAGGAAGGAGCTGCCAGCATGGTGGAGGAGGAGGGGGAGATGGTTGTGCTGCCGGATGGAGGCATCATCATGGAGGGGGAGGAGGGTCAGGTGACGCTGGTGGAGGCAGGGGGAGAAACGACAGAGGTCAGCTCCTAACAGAGAAGGTGGGGGGAGAAGGAGGGAGTGATGCCAACAAAGAGATGCATCATAACAGCAGAGGGTCAGTTTGACTCACAAGTTTGATTCCCATTGAACAAAGTGATGGAGGAGCTGAATCAGATGATTTTAACTGTGCACCATTTTGAATCCCCAAACGGAGAAGAGACAAAATGGTTTCCTAACAAACAGTAGTATGAGGAAGGTGGACTAAGAAATCATTACACCGGGTTTCAGTCGTGCACCATTTGAAAGATTTGATAATGTTCTGGGGAGGAGAAGCCAAATGGCTTCACTAAGAAAACAGAAGAATTAAGAGAAAACTTAGTTATGCACCATTGTGAATCCCCCCCCAAAATTTGATTCAACAGGGGCGAGGAACAAAATGGCTGCTACAAAAAGTTAGACTGAAGAAGATGACAGTGGATTTCAGTCATGCACCACTTTGACCTGTATTTCAGAGAAGGAGACAAAATGGCTTCCCCAAAGAGCAACAGCAAGAAAAGAAGGAAAGGCTGAAAAAAATCTTAAATAAACACGGAGAGGGAACTCAGTCCTGTGCCATTTTGAATCCTTGAAAGATTTGATACTAACACGTCAGAGAGAAGAAACTAAATGGAGACATGTTCCCACTGTCTTTACTGAATACTTTTCACTATCGAGGATAGATGCAAAATGGCTGCAAATAGAAATTAAGCTGGAATAAAGAATCCAGTGATTGTGTTCCGGAGGAGGTGGGAGCCCAAGTTAGACGTGAGGACGACACGCCCCCGTTGTTTCATTACCGTCACCGTCTGACTCAGTTTCTGTGTGAGGACTAAACCGGGTTTGTGTAAAATAATTCTCAGAAAGTTTTAGTTTGTTTTTAACATTGTTTTGAACACAGATGGTTCTTCACACTGGAGCCATTTGTGTCCCTTCATTTCTTTCATATTCAGTTTTACTGGTGAAACAAACCAGCACAGTTGTTCGTCTGACGCCTTTAACCTGAGACCACGTCGCTCCTTTTTAAAATCCAGTTACTCAAACCTTTCCATTGCTTGCACCATTTTGCTTCCCCGGAAGAAAAGATTATAGTTTGGACTCAACAACTTCCTGCTTTTTTTCTTGTTCTTGTTCTGGTATTTTTACATTTCTGTCTGGACGTTTTCAGATGTGACTTCATCGTGTGTAAAACTCAACAAACTTGTACGATTTCCTGTTGCAATCACTCATGTATTGAATTTAGTTAGAAAATAGAAAAAACAACCGGAACTGAACCAGATTCATCATGAAACCTTCAGTTGTTCATGAATTAATATTGTTTTCATCCAGTTTGTTTGAATCATCACGCCGTTGTAACCCTGGGTTTTACAGAGCTGACACAAACTCCCACCGATCCACTCATCTTCATTATTGATTAATTGGTGAAAACTTCATGTTAGCATTTGTCACAGTTGAACGACTTCATGAGTCAAATCCTTAAAAGAAAATCTAAAAGAAAGTCTGTGAAAGTTCAAATGTTCTGTGAGAACTGAAAACCAGCTCAGGTTCTGCGATTACATTTATTGATTAATTGGCTATTGATTGTTTCAGCTCTGCTCGGTTCAATGCATCAGTTTTTAATGACCAACCATGTTCATTATCATCACTTCTGTTTCTGTGATTCTTCATAAAACAGAGGAGATCACATTGACACGTTTGATTTCACTCTTCTGTCCTCAGACCGATCTCCTTCGGTTCACTCATGAAAATGATCAGTTATCATTGGAAACACGAGTCGTCTACTCGTCATTCAGAATCGCGAGAAATCTACCAACTGAAACATCTTTTCTCAAAATGTTGCTGGAAATATTCTGAATGTGTTTATTATCTTTATAAAGAACGTGTTTAGTCCACAGAGTCTCAATTCAGAAGGACCCGAATACCCAGTGAAAAGTGGAAACTTGAGCTTTTAATGAAAATATTCATGTGTGGGAATAACCAGACTATTTTTCAAATTTTCAATATTTTCTGTGGATGATTTATAAATTAATCAACTAATCCTAAAATGTCAGTAAATACTGAAATATACAATATAAAATGCCCTTAACACATCAGATCATTTGTTTGTTTTAAACCAAACATATTCAGTTTACTTCCCAACAAAGAGACCTGGAGCGTTTCGTACTTTCACTTTAAAATGTGACTGAAATAATGATGAGGAATAAAAAACTGTCAGTTGTACATGAGTGTTTCTACAGGACGACTTCATCTGTCTGAACTCTGACGCGTGAATCTAGCTTCAGAGTGGATCCGAGAAAAACTATTTATTAAATGTGACAGTATGTGTACAAACTAACACCACCTCTCTGCTGTACGTCGGCAAATTCTAACTTTGCAGAAGGAAATCGGCCGAAAAACCCGGTTGTGAACAGACGAGTTACGGATGTGAAGCGTCTGAACCCTCGGCTTTGTTTCTGGTCCAGTTCTTGTTGGTCTTGTTCTCCCTGGTTCACTCCCCCTGTATAAAATCACTAATGGATTCCTCCCTGTCAGCTGATTGTCATGTTCGGTGCGTCAAGCTCTTCGTTCTCCGGTCACTGATTCATTTGAGTTATTTTTATAAGCTCAACCTTTTTCTATGTACATATAAAGTTGTATTTTTTTAACTGTACCTGAACGATGGCTGCCTGCCCAGGTTAAAGTACTCAGAAATATAAACACTTGTTTTTTTGAATAACATTGTCTCTGTTGTGTGTTTGACACAGTGACACCTGAATGCTGCGTGGGGCATTCAGGGTCGAGCATTTCCCCCAAGTCATAATCATGTCACGTTTATAGAAGCACGTTTGCTCTTTAACCTCTTTCAAAGTTGCCTCGATAAAAATGAGTGAAATGACACAACACTGAATTAGCTGTTTTTATTTTATCAACAAGAAAAATACTTTAATAACGAACTATGGAGAAGACCCGCCCCCTCACTGCCTGTGAGCAGTGTTTTCAGTTCAGTGGAGAAATGTACACAAAGCTAGTGGACAGGAAGTGATGTCACATGTTTAATAATCAAAGGATTCAAAGGTTTTATTTCATGAAAAGTTTGAAACTTTCTGCAACTTCCTGCTTTTTATGGATGTTCTGATTGTAATCACGTGATCGGGCTCCATGTAAACAAACCGAGAGTTCACGTTTTTTATTGATCGAAAAAATGGTCGATTATCTGCAAAGCGACAGAAGAGCGGAGGGCGGTGATTGGCTGAGACACCTGTCAATCAAGCAGAAGAACGCTGATGTTGCTCATATGAAAAAACTCTATTTCCCATGATCCTTTGTAAAGCGGCCCCAGGGATTATCCCGCCCACCCCCTGGATTAAAAGTGATCAGTTTTGATTGACGTGCCCATCGTCCAATCAGCGGCGGCGCAGAGGCACGCGGCCAACCGTGAGTGTCTGTGGGCGGGTCCGCGCGTAGGGGGCAGGGCGGAGGTATCATGGAGGATCAGTAGAGACTCAGTCCGTCAGAGGAGCAGCTCCGAGCACCGGGACCTCACGACCGTTACCGAGCACACGAAGCACCGGCACCATGGACATGAAGAAGAGGATCAGTCTGGAGCTGCGGAGCCGGAACCCGGCGGAGGTGAGCCCCGCTCTTTTTAAGTCTCAAATAACCCGGGACGAGCCACCGGAGCACCGGAGCCACCGGAGCCCGTCACATGCAGCCCGCCACCGAACACTTAACGGAAACTCAGCGGCGGGACATCCACTCGGTGAAAGCGCTTATCGGTCACTGCACAGTCCGGTAAACCGAAAGCAGCGGACCCGGTAGATGTGGAAGCATCCCGCGGCTCGGTCCGCCCCCCCCCCCCGGTAAAACCCCCTCAGTCCCGGAGAATCTATGTTAAATCAAACCCTTAACATTCATCGACCGTCTCTACATTCTCGGTTTCACGTTAAATTCGTCCACGGTTCTGCTTCGTCCCGGTTCACCTGAAACTTTAACTTTGAGTCGGTGTCCGCCGCTCGGTCAGGCTCGGTTTTACCGGACGATTCGAGCCTCTTACCGAGAATAACTTAGCGTTTGTCCGGTAATCAGAGCCGGTGTTCGGGGCTTTTCGCGGGGTTTCATCCCGGACGAAAGCTGCGTACCGAACAACGGCGGGTCGTCTTCGGTGAGCGGACATTTTAAGTCGCTTCAACTTCGACGGGAACATCGTTTAAAACGACGTTTGATTTAACTGCGTCGTTAAACTCGGTTCAAACCGGATTTACCGGCGGCTCGGAGGGTTTTAATCGGTGTTTGCTGCGACCCTGCTCGGTGGAGCGGACGCGGAGGTCGGTCACAGACATTTTGAGCTCGGTGGTAACGCGTTACCGATTTATCGTTACTCTGAGCGGATTATTGTGGAATCAAACGAATACTTCTATATTCAAAGTAACGTTACATCGTTACTGTAACGCCGAGGGAGGTGTTAGCTAAACGTCGCTAACGAGTCAAAATGGCGTTACCGAGGTTACCGAGGTTACCGAAGGTAGTTTAACCACGCGGAGCAAGAACACGACTGAGCCGCCATTAAAACTACGAACCTCCGGGTTACTCGTCACTAAGCACAGCTGTGTGTGTGTGTGTGTGTGTGTGTGTGTGTGTGTGTGTGTTATATAACCCGACTACACACCGACCAGCGTCAGTTAAATAACACACACACACACACACAATCGTTCACTGGTGTCATGTTGTATGAAGGGGGGGGCGGCAGATGGTGTGTGTGTAGAGTCGCCCCCCCCCCCCAGCTTATAGTGGGTTAAACACGCACGCGCTCAGCGTCAGTAATGGCCGACCTCTGGTTTTCATCCTGAACCAGTGTCTGCTGGTTATATAACAACCAGAGGAATTCTGGGTAATATGAGTTAAGTCCTCACACAAACATTTACATTTACCTGTCTGTCTGTTTACACCCGTCTGTCTGTCTGTCTGTTTACATCCGTCTGTCTGTCTGTTT